ACATATATATATATATATATATACACATATATATACATATATATATACACATATATATACATATATATACATACACACACACACACACACACACATTTAAATTATAGTAACTTCGAAGAGCCAGAAGATAAATAATAAAAAAAGACAGATATGAATGACAACATTTTATTGGGTTTACCCTATGCAAGACCATATAGATCTATCCCCTTAACCCTCATACTCAGTTTGTATATTTTTAACATTGCATAAGATCATATAGAAGTGATCTATGTAGTGATATGAGAACCTTATTAATGTAACTGTTAAGATCGAGGAAAAATGACACATTCATTCCCTCTGATTACAAGTGTGATCATCATCATCAGTCATGCATTACAGTGATCTGTGGTTTATGACTTGAATGTAAAACAAACTGGGCACTTAAAAGGATCAGGCTACACATTTGATAAGTTTGTCCATCACATAAAGGATTATCCCAGATTCTAAACCAGACAACCTGTCTGTGAAGGGCATTCAATGTAATGTAGCTGCTCAAGTAGAGGGGGCGTTGAACACTTCTGAACAGAGCATTTTAAATGAGATTACAACCAAACCAAGCAAATCAAACACAAAAACACTTAAAAAAAAGGTCTCAAAAGAGACTTGTATAAACCTTAGCTCTTAGCCTAAGCAGATACATTTTATCAAATTTAAGAAGAAAGGGGGCGAAAGCAAGATTGTCTGCAACGCTCAAGCACTGGCTGTTAAAAATGGATGGAGTATCTCAACATTTGTCAGCATGTCAGAGTGAATATTAGCTTATGGGGAGTGCTAGTTGCCATTGGTGCGGTCACACAAGTCAGGTGTGTGAGGGAGTGCAAGACGGTAAATAATCGGAAGGCTTCAGAATACTATAGCAAATGTAAACATAGCCTAGCTCTGGCAGGAAATCCAGTCTACTCTGATTGAACCTCTTTGCAGATCTCAAATTTTGCACTTTAAAAGCCCTTGTGTGTGTTTAAATATGTGTGTATGTGTGTGTGTTTATATTTCTATATTTAAAAACATGCATCCATACTCGTTTCCTCCCGACAATATAAAAACGGTCTTAAGTCGAGTGTATACGTGTACGTGTGAGTAAATGGAGGTTTGTGTGTCGTTAACAAGTCTATATGTACAAAGTGTGCCAGCATTAAGAAAAGTTACTCATCCCTGACACTAAGATCGATGTGTTCAATACACATAAGACATTGGATTTTGGTCACTGGGAGAAGAGAAAAAAAAAAAAAAAAAGGCAACACTAAATGATAACATGTGAATGAAATATCCAACCTATCAAAACCACACATCAAAACCTGAAAACAACTTTCTATTTTAAAAAAAAAAGTGTTCTAAAAGGCAGTATTTACATTACCAGCATTACAGGCTGTAAGCAGTGTGCACAGTGTTTCCCACTGTAGTGCTTGTAATGCGGTGTATGAAAATCTACACAATTAAAAATAAAATTAAAAAAAAAAAAGCTAAGAAATCTTATCACACTGCAAGAAAAAAAAAATACATTTTTGTTTTTCTGAAACGTAACAGTCAACTTCATAGCCAGCCAAGTATAGCTTTGTTATTGGTTATCAAAACATGTTCCAGGCATGTTGTCAGTGAAAGACGCCTTACAGAGTATCTTTTTTTTCCTTGTTTAGTTTTTTTAAACCCCAACTCCGAAATCTCTAGTCCTGTACAAACGATGCAAAAAACAGAAGCCAAGGTTTTCTCGTTTTTTTTGTTTTGTTTTTTTAAAGATCCAGTATAAACAACTTCCACCTGAAGCTGTGTTTTCTATACAGTGTACAAAACGTGCAGTTTTCCTAAGAGTTAAATATTAATATTGAATTTGGATTATTTACATGAAAACAATATCTTGATATGAACAAAGTCCTTCACCGCTGCCTTCGAACAGTTCCAGTCCCCAAACGCCGCAAATACTTCCCCTCAAAAAACCCCAAAACAAAAAAAACAACAAAACAAAACCCAAAACCAAAAAAAAAAAAACCCTTAAAAAACAAAACAAAAGGATCTCAAATGATGTTCCCTCAAACATATGAAATAAACGAGCTAAGGATAACTCAGACGACAGCGGGGAAGGGGGGAGTCACCATTGTCCTGAGGACTTTACCAGTTAACTTTAGATTTATGAACATGAGGTCTCAAATAGTTTAAAACTTCAGACATTTCTAAGAAAATTCTAATTAATGCAAAGTTACGCTTAAGAGCCTTTCAAAGTCTTTATATTACTACAGGTCCACATTAACAGAAAACAGAGCAACTGTAATCACTCTTAATCTTTAAACAGGCAAGAGGACTTCCTGAATGTATAATAACTTAAATAAAAAAAATAAAATAAAAACAAAAAAAGGGGCCAGTTCAGCTTAAAAATCAAATGATACATCCAAAACTGTTACACAGTCTTAGATACATCAAGTCTGCAATCTCTTGAATATAATTATAACTAAATGGAACTCATGACGTGGTACTCAGAAATAGAAGCCAGCATTAATGCGACTCAGGTATTAAAAAATGTAAAACTTTTTTTTTTATTTTTTTTTTAAATTGGACAAACCATGTTTTCTGCAGGAACTATTTTCTTTGACTGAACTACAAATGCCAGCTGGAGGAAGTGTGTGCCTATCCATCATGTAAGGCTCGTGACAGGACGTAAACAACTGTGTTTGCCTCTGCTCACCCATAATGTCAGCTAGCCACATGCTTTCTTTGGCTGAAGGGTGTAGTTTGGAAAGAAAATAGTTCCTACATAAACCTGCTCACAATTTCAGCGGATTTTTTGGAGCAATGATTAAAAAAAAAATTGGGGGGGGGGGAACTGTGAGAAGCAGAAGGCGAGTAGCATTTTTAAAAAAAAAAACTAAATCAAAAAAATATATCAACATTTCAATTAATCAGACAATTTGTTTCCCCTTTCAGATCCATGAAACTTATGCAATCACTCTTGCTCAAATCAGCTGGTTGCAGCTATGTTGCCTCCAGCGAAGTTGCAGTGCCCTCTGGTGGACAAAGTATGCAACATCAAAACTGCTAACATGGCTGAAGGGTGCTTCTCTGATCTCTTCTTTAATTTTCAGGTATTAGTTGTCATAAATGCAGATATATCTGTCAGACTCACGCTACATATAGTTCTATTAAATTCATGGGAATATTTTATGGATTATTTTAAACTCCCTAGAAAAGCAAACTATATAAACTAATAGCAGTAGAGGGTCAGAGTTCAAATATGAATAGTTGACTTTCAAGCAAAGAGTCAATTTGACCTAACAGCACAAAAAAAAAAGCACCTCAATTTAACTGGGTTACTAAAGATGGAAGCTACAGTACACTAGTAGTATACTTTTACCTGAAGTATATATTTTTAAAAAGTATATTGCTTTGCAACATTGCCATATTGGGCAGATATTTCTGTTTATTATAGGTCATTTCCTACCTCTGGTTACCTAATGCCCCTTTATCTACAGTCAAGATTTCTTGTACTCTAAGGTGATCATTCCTTGTTTTTTTAAACTTTTAATTACTACTGAAAAAAAAGTTATAATCAAAATTCCTAAAATACATCTGAAATTTAAAAGCAAAAAAAACAAACAAAACAACAACAACAACAAAAAAAATGTGCATTTGAGGTCCTCATGATCACAAATCTCAGTAAAACTGAAGTCTTTAGGTAACCATTTTTAACCGGTTTGCTTTTGGGCTCAATTTTATGTTTAGTAGCCTGACTCACAGGCGTTGAGCAAATACAACAATTCCCTTCTTTAAAATCTCTGAAACAATGATTTTTGTGTTTGATACTCGGAGTTATAAAGACCATACTGATCCCTTACCAGACCCTTGAGTTGGAGGATATAAGAATTAACTCAACAGATGACCCTGAGTGAATCATTGGCCTTATATGATGGCGGCCATTTGTTATAGCATAAAACATTTGTAGATTACAATTCTTTACTTTCAGTTAGAAACAAAAACTTGCCGCTAATTTAATAAAAAGGTCCAGTTTAAATGTACAGGCACAAATTGTCAGTAAACAGACTTATTTACATGAAAAAACTTAAAAAAAAAAAAAGAAAGAAAGAAAGAAAGAAAGTGGAGGGAAAACAAAATAAATGCACACCCCACTTTAAATCTCCATTGTGCCACACGTTCTTCCACATAGATGATATGTTTGCATCATAACACCTGGAGCTCATAATACTGAGTCCTTTTCACATCCGGGAACCCCTTTCCTGAAGAATCTGCAAAGACAGAAACATTAGATAATCAGCAAAAATGCTCAACACTACACAATCTGCAGCAGTTCAGTCACTTTTAGTGTCCCCCAGCACCGATCCACCTCTTTATTAATGTCACAGTGTCTGTCACACTTAAAGCACAAGGCGGTTGAAACAAACACACATACTGTGAGACTTTTCAGAGACCCTAAGAGATTTGTGATCTGTGACACATGCTCATACTTTGAGGATTTTAAGGATTTCTTCAAGACCTAAAGAACACATGTAAACACCAGTGTTTTTACATCATTTCAAAGACCTACGTCACACAGAGACACAACACTTAAAAGTTTACCCAAAACGAAGAATCTCTGACATTTCCTTCAGTGAATTTTGAGAAAATGGACTAAACATCGAGGGTACCTCATTTACTGTTGATGCAGTAATATCCTGTGATATTGATGCCCAAAGTTGGTCAGAGAAAAACTAATGCTGAGCAAAAATGAGATTTTGGCTTGAAACTGTGACACCATGAGTGGGAGTGAAGTTGATTTTTCAAGTTTTTTAAGAGCTTAAATGTGTTTCAGCTCCGATTTCACGCGGCTATCGACTGAGCTGTATTAGAAAGGTTACGAGGGCTCAAAAATACTGTGAAAATACAGGAAATTAAAAAGTGTAAAACGTCAACCTTCTTTTACATATTTTGAGCTGTATTTTTTAACATTTTACAAAATTTTAAAAAAGAAGGTTAAAAAAAAATGTACATCCCTTTTTAAAATATATTAAAGTTCAAAGAAAAGTGCTGATTTTGACAGCCAGGTGGGAACTTTTTCCCCTCCTGATTTCAGAGGACAGATCAAACCTTTGAGTCATTTGGCCTTCTCCTGAGTTAAAATTTATGCAATTCAATGTGAGGCACATTAAGAAGAAAATACCTGCTGTTTAACTGGTTTCATTTCTTAAGTATTTTGGGAAGAAAATATATTTGGCAAGGACAAATCTTTACTGGAATTATTTCCTTGTGAAATGTGATTTTTTTCTTTTCTTTTGATGCATAAAAATGTGCCAGTAATATCGAAATTCCCGCCTTTAATCATTAAAAACCGGCATAGCACAGACACACGAGTGGTATGACTTAAAAACAAACAAAACCATTGTAACCTACAGCTATTTATGACAAAGAAAGGGCAGAGGGTGCACACCAGCCCACCCATCTCTTTCAATGTCATTCTCAGGGAGGATGAGTCAAAATGCAGCAGCTGATGATTCAGCATGCCTTCCATTAACAAATGCTGTGAGCATGTCAATAATTACAGGGGTCTGAAACCAGATGGGAAGAGCTCCATTTGTTTCAAAGAGAGCTTCACCTGCAATAAAGTCTCCTGCCTCAGCAGGAGCAGTGAGGCTTTTGATCCAGCTTTGGCCTGCAGACTCCAATGTCCAAAGCTGATTTGCAACCTTGATTCTATCATTGGACTTTTGTAACCATCTTATAAGAGCTCAGCTCTCGCCGTCTTTGAAAACAAATGGGAAACATTTTGAGGAGCGTTAAAAAGGCATCTTGGAAAAAGGAAGGAAGGAAAAACTAAGGAGGTGTGCTGGGAAGGACTACGAGCAGTTGAGCGCTCACCGGTGAGTCATAAGTGCTCAACCCTAATCAGAGTCATTCATTTCATAATCCGTCTCTTCGTCCTCGCTCTGAGCAACATGCAGCATGCAGACAGCACAGAAGAAGACAAGAAAGGCATGTTGTAAAAGAAATGGAAATGAATGAAGGTGAAAAAGGAGAACAAGGTGAAAAGTAAAACTAACAACGGATCAAAGGGGATTATCATTAAATCAACAATGTGAAGTGCGTCAGAGTGACACAAAAACATAATCCAAGGACACCTTCCCAACCAAGGTCAGTTCCCTTGTTTTGGATGTTAAATCTAGATATTAGGTCCCAAACAAATAAATAGCTACATAACAAAATGGACTGAGAAATAATGTACAGAATATAAAACCAGTAATAAGATCTTGATTTGGATAGGATGCCCCTGGAGAGACTAAATGAATAGAGCACAGTAAAATCTCTACAGTCTACATTTGCTTCAAATATGCTCTGACAGCCTCTAATCTCTTTAATAATCAGGAAAATAAAACCATAAATACAGGCGTAACAATATTAGTCTTTAAGTGCTGCTTCCTCTAAGGAGTGGGTCACTATCACCCCAATTTAAAAATAATAATAATATAAAAAGAAAATGTAAAAGACACCTTGCCAGTAGCAGCACAAACCTGTGCCATCTTAATGCCCAGAGCTGGATTACACAGTTTAGACTTGAGGTCAAATTTAACAGAAATTTCAACAGCAGGTTAAATTTAGTTTGTCTACGTGATGTGAAGACAAAGTTCTGATTATGCCTCAACTGAAATAATTAATCTCTGTAATATTTTTCCATTTTAAGTTCTTTTTCTATGGTTGCTTGTGGTTTTTCTGTTTGTCAATTTTCTGGTTAGTCAACAAAATAAAAAAAGCAGCACAATGCATTCCTTTACAGGGAGTTTTCATCAAGAAAGTAGTAGATGTGCTCTCAGCTCCCTGGAGGAATGTACATGCATCCAGCACAGGCCATCTTTCACCGATGTTTGCTATGGACTTATAACAAGCCCTTTCACGCACTTACCTTAGCCTTCTCACTGGGCTCACTGTTTGTCCCGTATGATTGATTGTGCAACTCCTTGGAGACTACACACAGGAACTCAGCTTGGTCTTCGTTTCCGTAGTTGTAGGATGAGCCGATGCTGACGAGCTAGAGAGATGAGAGCAGAGCAAAGACGAAGAATTAGAATTACACTGATAAAGGCAAAAATCTGGGTTACTCGTGGTGGGAAAACACAAGGAGGGATACCTTATACTAATGTAAAACAGGCGGAAAACCAAACAGGGAGCACAGAGAGTCCTTAAATTTAAGCTACCTCAGTTCTTAGTAAAACCATAAAGCCTAACCCTAACCCAGAGTTAGTTACATCACATTTAGCGCCTTTACTAGGTAGACAGCGATGTAGGACAGGTTTGGGAGTGACACAACAGATCCGCGGTCAGATTTAATCTCAATATGGCAAAGCTGCACAATTATATGGTGCACTGAGGGCAACAGGGTGTGCCATTTCAAATGTTAAAGCTAGCCATTTTGAAAAAGGCTACACTGAAAATTTGAGAGTTGTTATAAAAAAACATTTAAAAAGAATTCGTGATCTCAGGACCTGCAGACATACCAGCACTGATTTCAACATAAAACATGGGAAAGCTCAAAGGAAACTAAAGAAAATATCATCTGTGGTTCACAAATTAAGGCTGTAGAAATTAAAAAAAAAAAGAAAGAAAAGGATGAACAGCAGATAGTTACTGACAGAATACGAGTGCAAGGGACGGATCACAGGAAGCAACATGCTGATTGAGGGGAAAAAAATGAATAAATAAATTTAAAATAAAAATCACTGGGGAATGGTGGATTGACAGGACCAGGCTTAGCATCTCCTACAAAGAGAAAACCGCAGACTCACTTCCATCCAACAATTCAGATCCATTTTAAAGCTCTTTGACACAAGATTTGACCCTTAGTGTTTCTATAAAGCGAATGGCAAATGTTGGAGTTTTCACCAATGCTGCAATCGTCACACTGTTGCTGTTGTTGGGCTGTACTCTCGTTAAAGCAGACCTATTATGCTTTTCTTTTACTTCCATCTTAATAAACATATCAAGCTTCAACTAAAAAGGCTCAAGGAAAGGCAACATTGTTAAAAGGGTCATATCAGGCTTAACCAAGCCCCATCCAAACCTTCAGTTTGTGAGAGGCAGCCAATCGGAAGAAAGCTGGCTGAAAGGGAGGGCATAAGTAAACATAATGGGCCCGCTTTAATGGTTTGTTTTTCGGTCTTGTTTTGTCTCAAGGGCTTACTCAACACTTGATAGTGGAAGTAGGCCAGTACAATTTGAACCAAATGAAAACCTCAATGAAACCACAGCACCTTGGTTTATTTCTGGTAAGCAAAAGAGCCTACAAATAAAACCTTTCTACATCCGTCTTAAAAAACATGGCAATAATTTCTGCTCTTTCCCAGTCACATCAGTCTAAACAAAAACCAAAAGGACACAAGGGGACAAATAAAGGAATGACCAAGTGAGATAAAAAAAACAAAACAAATACATAAAAAATAAAAAAAAAAAATAACAAAAAGAAGAAACGGCTACTTCTCGATTTGATTTCGTTTTCATCCGCTTTTGCTGTTGAACATTAAGTGTGTGTACTGCAGGCTGCATGTATACCGTCTGTACCCAGGTGTGCATGTTCAGACATGCATCGCCTCATTAGCCCTGCTGCCACAGACTTGTTGTTGTTAGCGAGCTCTCCAACATTAACACGGCAAAAAAACAAAAACACCCCTCAAATAATCTCAACTAGTTATCTTGGATTCGACTTAACACACAGCTCAGCGAACCATCAGTTAAACAACAAATTAGATTTATATAATCGGAGCGTGTCCTAGAAGACTCTCCTCGTCTGACGGTGGAGCTTTAAGCTTTGCATTGGGAGTGTTTGTTTTTTTGTTTTGTTTTTTTGGAGTTTCCCCATCTGACGGGTATAAGGAGATTAATGGGTTTTCAGCTCTGATGGGAGAGCCAATGATCCCACATTGCAGAGAGATTCAGTCACACATTACACGCACTCCAAACAGCCAAACATGCGGTTTCTCTTTGAAGAAAAAAAAAAAATTAACCTTTGTCATAATTTCTATATTCCATCTGGATTCCCTTGTAATGCTCGACAAAATCAGTTACAAAGAAGATTACCTAAACGGCAGATAAAAGCAACACTGCACTTCTAAACAACCAGTACTAGATTCCAGCGCCCACCCTCCCTCAGCTCCTCCAAAAGTGACTACATCAAAGCAAAACAGATAAAGCTGCTGACATACTGAATACAGAACGACAAAAACTAAAGTAAAGCAAAACTAAACCAAAACAAGACAAAAAAAGGATAAAAAACAAAAAGGTGTCAGGGTCTCTTAGCCTCACTGGTGAGCAAGCAGTATACATGAAAACGGAAAATTATCAACTGAAAATTAACCGATGGCTACGTGTCTACTTGGGACAAACAATGGCCAACGGGGTGTGTACGGACAACATGGGGATCATGCAGTGACCAGCCCGTGGACAGAGATTCGTGGGACACACCTCTCCGCTGTTGTTTGGCAAAGCAGACTCCTCTCCCTTCACCTCCCTTGACACAATCAGCAGAAACTCTGACTGGTGGGCCCGCCCGTAACCTATACTGACAAGCTGCAACAACCAATCAGAGCACAGAAGGGATGCCCGGATCATGTATGCGGACATTGAGAAAGATGTGATTTGCTGTTTGGCTTTTTTTTTTTTTTTTTTTAATCATTTATTTATTTATATATTTTTAAACCATTTCCAATGTGGACAATTGCACTTTCTGGGTCAACGTGAGCATAGCGGGGTGGGTGAAGCACATGGAAGGACGATTGTCGCTGGGACGCTGGGGGAGATTTACCTGTTCAAACTTCCAGCCATCAGACATGGTAGACACCATTTGAGTGAGCTCCTCCTCTTGGCACTGCAGCACCCGGTAAACATGCTTTACTGGAACCTGAGAGCAAGGATGAGCACATAATGTATTCATTTTTTAAAAAAGGCGGGCATTACAATTATTGAGAAATCCATTGAAATGTCACATAAATCCATGTACCTGTGATGTTTTGCAATCGCGTTCCCTGATCTTATCCTTGATGAGCTTTATTAATGATGTGATGTTGTAGAATTCGGCTTCTTCTAAAACTCCTAAAACAAGAAATAAGGCAAAAGATCTCAGACAGATATTCTACTGAACAACAAACACTCCAAAGCATCCTTTGAAGCAAACCAGCAAAGGAAAATGTTTGTGCCTTAGCTCTGCAACCAGCACATCTCAAAAAGTGCAACTTTTACTTTGACAGCAAATATTCAGTTTCCACTTTACTTTTTCCAAGCTTCACAACTGCTTGGTGACAAGTTTGCCAGTGTTTGCAGACAAGTCAGCATCTTCCAAACTAGGAACAGTCGAGGCACTGTGCCATTATCTAAAGCAATCACAAGGTTTTCAGCATAGCACAATATATTTATTTGCGATAAGCTACACCTAGTGAGTGCTGCAATGCAAAAACAAATATTTGGGAGACAACACCCTGGGAGACAAACAGGCAACGACTAATGAAGCGTTTGCAGGTTTACTAATTGAAACCTTATAAATCTTGTTATCCAAATGCTCTCTTTGGGTCATCTTGATGTGCTGAACATTGAGTGAGTTTGGGTTTTTACAGGAGGGGCAAAGGTGCACCACTGTAATCACTTTCTAAGGGAATTATTATCCCAAAATTAGCCTTACATATAGTAGTTCCCATGGGGTGCTTTGCGTAATGATCATCACTATTGTTTAAAATATTTGGCACGAGTTTGATTAAATTGAAGCATTCCTTCATGTTCCATAGAGACATTACCTTCCTCTGCCAAGTCCCTGTTGAGCACCAGTTTGCCATGCCTTAAGTAGTTAAGCACTGGCCCGAAGTACGTGGGGTCTCTGTCTATGAGATAGGCACCAGTTTCATCCTGAAAAAAATCAAAGAGACAAAAAGGTACAGTTATTAGAAAAAACAGAAACTGCAATCATTGTTTTGTATTTTTTAAAAAATCCAAACAAGCATTTTAGGTAAATTTAGGATTGTTTTAATATATTTAAAACTCTCCCATAGATATGACACAACTTCATTAAATGACATTTGTCCATTAAAAGGATTTTTTTCTTCATGAGCCAGTGTGTACTTTCAAGTGAAACATAATCTGAGCACAAACAACACCCACTGCACATCAGTGAACAAAACTCATGGGATGAGATTGTAAACGCAGGAGCGTTTACAATTGCCACATTGGTTGAGAAGACATGCACACACAGAGCCACACATACAAGCACTCTGGGATATCACTGTGCTATTCCCACAGGCCTTGGGTTTGATCCCGATTCCTTCACAACCACTGGGTATTCCCCTATTTCTGTGATTAGACTGTCTTCGTCTCATGAGAGAAGAAGCGGCTAAAACAATTAGAGCAGAACAGAAAAAGATTTGGAACAGCAGGGCTAACCCACCACAGGGACCAGGAGAAAGCACCTTGGCTTAAAACCAGAAATTAGCCTAGTCTGGGCCGTTACACAGTTGGCCTCACACATAATATAAAAGACAGTCTGTACAGCTGTCCAATAGCCAGACTGAATCTACAAGCTGTTTAATACAATGCCACATTTAGTGAGTAAAATGTGCTGTAACATTGAATGAAATACTCAGCACAGAGGAAAGGCCTTGAGCATATTTTGAGCTCATCTTCAAACGCTTCTGAGACACAGTTGCTCATGTGTCTTCAGGGGACAATCCTAGCAAATTTGCAGCATTACTGGTTTATGCTGCTTCTGACATTATTCGCCCAAGAACACACCGCCAATAAGTCATAAATTTCAGGACACTACATGAATCAGAGATAGTTCATCGTGCAGAGAGGAATTCATTTTGTAACCCATTAATATTTTCAATAATGAGAAAATGTCCCAGTGCAGTTTCTTTTATAATGAATCTCTAAGCCCTCTTGGCTGGATGACCCCTTTTCCATGGCAAAAAATACTCCACCGGAGCCCAGTGGAGCTCTATTCTGGTCTCAGTGCTCCGTGTCAGATTCTTACAAGTCCACAGTCACTGATTAAGCACGTATAGAGGTACGCCTTTATGGAGGACGCAACTCATCACAGCCATCCACATAACTCTGTACGCGATGGTTTGGCTTTCATAGTGAAGCTTAGGCTCCATCTATCTATTCAGTTGCACAAATGTCCCACTGCAGATCTTCATTGGAGTTTCATAGAAATAACAACGACAACAAAAAAACCCCATGTTTTTCCACTTTCTCCATCAGATTATCATTGCTATTCTGCAAAAGGAAAAAAGGTGATAAAAACACCTTCAACCTGTTCTTTTAAGTTGTGCATCACTCAAGCTTGAAATGCAGTTTAAGATCAGTCAGAAATGACAGGAAAGTATAGATAATGTAAGTCTTTGTCTTAACTACATGCAAACACCCCCAATTTGCCAAGAAAATCTTTTACTACAATGGTTCACTGTTAAATTTAAAAGGGGAAACTATGGTTCAACGTGTGGGTGCGTGGGTAGTCTGTGGGTAGCTACAGACGACCATCTACCAGAGGCAGCGAGTTTGTTGTCAGATGGGTACAGTGAAAAAAATATGTAGTACAACCGGTTTGTGAGCCAAACCATGGAGAAGAGCAAAGTTATAGACCTACACAAAGCTGCAGTGAAG